AATGAGGTAAAAGACAGAGTATTTAAAATTACTCAGTAGAGATAAAAGAAGAAAAAAAGAATGATATAGAGTAAAGAAAGCCTATGGACTTATGGGACACTGTCAAGTGACAATACATGCATTATAGGAGTCCTACAGAAGAAAGGCAGTAAAGAACATGACAGAAAGCTTATTTAAAAAAAAAAAAACAATAATAGAAAACTTCTCAAATCTGGAGAAGAAACTAAAGATCCAGATACATGAAGCCCAAAGAATCCCAACTTGATTAAACATAAAGAGATCTTCACTGACACACGTTAAAATCAAATTCACCAAAGTCAAAGACAAACAGAGAAAGCAACTTGTCACATATAAGGGAACTCTCAAAAGACTATTACTGGATTTCTAGCAGAAACCTTGCAATCCAGGATAAAGTGCAATGATATATTCAAAGTGGTAGTGTGAAAAAAACCCTTCCAAATAAGAATATGACATCTGGCAAAACTGCCCTTCAGAAATGAAGAGAGAAAGTATTTCCTAGACAAACAAAAGCTGATGGAGTTCATCACCACTAGACCTATCTTACAAGAAAGGTTAAAGTGAGTCCTTCAAGGTGAAAGAAAAGGACACTAATTAATAACATTAAAACATATAAAGTATAAAACTCAATGTAAAGGTAAGAATACAATAAAATTTAGAATACTTTCATACTGTAATGGTGGTACATAAATCACCTTTAACTTTAGTATAAAAGTTAAAAGAAAAAAGTATAAAAATAACTATGGCCACAATAATTTCTTAATGGATACACAATAGTATAAACTGATACAAATTATGATATCAATGACATAAAAAAGAGAAGTTCAAGTATAGAGTTTTTATATGCAGTTGAAATTGTTATCAGCTTAAAACAGACTATTAAAACTATAAAATGTTTTATATAAGCCTCATAGTAACCACAAAGAAAACACTTGTAGTAGATACACAAGAGACAGAAATCAAAAGTATAATCACTACAAAAAAAAGAAAAAGAAATAAATCAAATTACAAAAAAAGAGAACAAGAGAGAAAGGAACAAACTACAAAACATCAGAAAACAATTGACAAAATTGCAATAAGTCTTTACCTATCAATAATTACTTTAAATTTAAATAGATTAAATTTTGCAAAGACACTTAATCAAAAGACATTCAGAGTGGCTGAATGAATTAAACAAATAAACAAACAAAAACTCAATATTCCACTATATGCTGCCTACGGGAGACTCACTTTACCTTTCAGAATACTCATAAGCTGAAAGTAAAGAAATTGGGAAAGATATCCACATAAATAATAACCAAAAGACAAAATGGATTTTTTTCAAAAACTGTCATGAAAGACAAAAAAGGTCATTATGTAATGATAAAGGGATCAATTCATTAAGAGGACATAACAATTGTAAATACATATGCACCTAACAATGGATTACCCAAATACATAAAAACAAATATTAAAAGAAGGGAGAAATAGATACCAATACAATAATAGTAGGAGACTTCAATGCTCCACTTTGAACAATGAATAGATCATCCAGACAGAAAATCAATTAGGAAACAACAAAATTAAACAACATTATTGTCCAAATGGACCCAACAGACATATACAGAACATTACAGGCAGTCCCCAAGTTACAGACAACCTGATTTGCAGTGTTCTATACTTATGAACAGGCTCCTAAGGCTCCCCGCAAGGATAATTTATAATTAAATAATAACACTAATAATTCAGGAACTAGTTTCTTCCACACATGTAAACAAACCTGTACGGCGTAAGCAATTCATTGGCACAGCATCTTTACGCTAGTGGTTAGTCTCACTGTTTATATAGTCACTTACACACAGCATCACGTTCATCTTAACTTTTTTATTTGACTTTGAGTCTATGTTTACCCTTATGACAACACCGCCAAAGCTAAAGTCCACGGCAAGCCCTGGTTAGCCTGCAGTAAACAGAAATTTGATCATGATACAAATAAAAGTAGAAATAATTAAGTATTTGGACAAAGGCCAGACACCATTATTTATTGGAAAAGCATTAAGCTAGACAATTGGAACAATTATAAAAGATAAAGTGAGAATAATGGAACATGTGAAAGGCAGTGCTCCAATGAAAGCATCAATTATTACTAAGCAGTACAGTGGATTAATTATTGAAATGAGAAGGTTGTTATTAATTTGGTTAGAAGATCAAAATAAGCATAACATTCTTATTAGCCCAGTATTGAGGCAACATTAAGTAAATGTTAACCTTTAACATTCGTTTTTGAAATTTCTCCCATCTCTTATCTAGACTTTTTGTATGGGTCTGTTTTTATGTTCTGTTTGTTTGAATTGAAAGAAAGAGCACAATAGTTTCTGTAGCTTATTATTAGAGTACAGGAGTATTGTTATTACTGCATTAAACTGTATTATTGTTATCACGTATGAGACATTATAGTATTATTATTATTATTACTATATATGTGCTATTAATCAGGGATCTGAGTTATATACAAATCTAACCTAAAGACGTTCTCAGGAATGTATCTCATCTGTAACCCAGGGGCTGCCTGTATTTAATCCTACGGCACCAGAATACACATTCTTCTCAAGTGCACACAGAACATTGTCCAGGATAGACTGTATGTTAGGTTACAAAACAAGTCTTAAATTTAAGATGACTGAAATCATATCAAGTATCTTCTCTGACCATAGTGGTATGAAAACAGAAATCAATAATAGGAGGAATATTGGAAAATTCACAAATATGTGCAAAATAACACATTCCTGAACAAAGAAGAAATCAAGAAGGAATCAAATGTATCTTGAGACAGATGAAAATGGAAACATAATATACTAAAATTGTAGGATGCAGTAAAAGCAGTTCTAAGAGAAAAGTTTATAGTGATAAACACATATATTAAGAAGAACAATCTTGGCCAGGTGTGTTGGCTCATACCTGTAATCCCAGCACTTTGGGAGGTTGAGGCAGGAGGATTGATTGAGCCCAGGAATTTGAAGTTACAATGAGCTATGACTGAGCCACTGCACTGTAGCCAGGGTGACAGAGAGAGAGCCTGCTTCTAAAATAAATTAAAAATGTCAAAAAAAGAGAAAGATCTCTAATAAACAACTTAACTTTATTCCTCAAGGAATTAGAACTATATGAGATGACTGATAAGCTAATTAGCTTGATTGGGATAATCATTTCCCAATGTATGTATATATATCAAAACATCACATTGTACACTTAATATACACAATTTTTATTTGTCAACTGTATCTCAATAATGCTGGAAAATCAATCAGGCAATAATGCTAGGAAGGAAATGTTGAGTGCAACGGGAGAAAACAACAGGAGTAGCTAAAGAGTAAGAAAGCACTAGCCAGGCATAAACGGAGAGAATGAGCATGCCAAGCACACAAATAACACATGCAAAGGACAGGGTAGCTTTTTATCACTCAGCAGAGGTCATTGTGGCTGAAGAATAGGGAGTGAGGAGAAGAGCCAGCGAGGCAGCCTAACACAAAGCCCCATAGAGATTTTGGTCTTCATCCCAAGAGCAGAAATATAAAGGTCTGGGTATGTTTGTTGGGGAAGACACAGTTAAATTCACACTTCAGAAAGATCGTGCTGCAGAGGGATACAGATTGTAGAGGGTTAAGATTAGATTTAGGGAGTCGAATTTGGAGGCTGCTGCCATGGTCTAGGTGAGACATGAGGATGACTTGGATAAGGGTGTTGGTGGAAAATAAACTCAACTGAAGCACCAGACACCTGAGGTCCACGAGAGGAGAGTCCACAGAGGCTCAGGATTGTCAGCTGGCTGGCTCGCACCCACTGTCCTGGGTATGGACATGCTGGCACAAGTTGTCAAGATCATGATCAGCCTACTGAAATGTCCTACAACTTCTTTCCTGGAGCACTAACCTAACAAAGGGTTGTGCTGGCAACCAAAAAGGCTACACCATGTGGCAGGACGGGAAACGAGAGCAGGGGCGGCGGGAGCCATCTGTGAATTGGACATTCCACACTCCAGCAAGGCACTAATGGCATCTTGAGAGGGCATCCCATCCTCTCTGATCTCGGGGGATGGGGGCAACCATCTCAAGGGAAGCGTCCTCTCCATGGGCACATAACTGCCCCCAATCACCCCCAACCAACAACAGCTTCTGAGCTACCTATGAGGAGAGGCCCATGTCCCACCTGGGTCTGAAGTCTAGGCCTGACACAGATTCTCAGTAGGGTGACCTCCTCCCTGGATGATGGGCTCCGTGAGGACAGAGTCTCCATCTTATGCCTCCTTGCAACTCCACTGTGCAGCCCAGACGTAACATACCATGTGTGCTGAATCAGATTTTGTTCAATGAACGAACAGACGACTCTCTTCCATTCCCTTAGAGTCGACGGCTCAGTCACCCAATCAGTGGTTCCTGCAGCCAAGCTGAGAACCTTACGCTATAGTCAATGCCCTGAAGCTACTCGGACTGTGCTGGGACATCAGACACAGATAGAAAAGGACAAAGTCCATTTCTACTATCCAGACATGAGGCACTCGGAGTTTTTAAAACAGAGGTTGGTGACTTCCAGGTGGAAGAATCCAGAGAGGAGGCAAATGGTAGAATGGAACTTCAGGACAGGTGGGATGTGGATAATCAGAGGGACGGCCAATTAGAGGGAGAGGGAAGCCTCCACCCATGGAGAGCCTTCGAGGAGTGATGCTCCAGTTGGAGCCCTCAGACAGGTTCTTCTCACAGCGAGCCTGCAGGCAGGAGCTATCAGCTCATGTCACTGTCCAGAATACTGAGGCTCAGAGTGGTGAAGTGGCGTGCCATGGTTGCAAAGCCAGCAACTGTTGGAGCTGAGGTCTGAACCCAACACTTTCTGAAGCCAGAAGCCATGGATCGCTCAGGCATCCAAAGAGAAGAAACAATGGGATCAAAGCACAGAAATCAAAGAAAGAAAGCGGTAGGTTTAAAAAATAGGAAGTGAGATCTGTTTACCAGGACCTATTTCCCACTTGAGACATTTAAAGGTGATGGATCGGGCTGGATTCACAAGCTGGAGCGATGCTCAGGTGGGACGTAAATGCCTTGCTGAGAGGTCTGACTTCAAGCCTGCAGGTGACAGGGAGCTGCTGGCTGCTTCTGAGCTGTCCAGGGACATGATCAGAGCTGAGCTTTCAGAATTGGGATGTGACCTTTGGGAGAAGAGGTGACAGACAGGAAACTCAGCAAGACAAGAAAACTCAAGGTGCCCAATATGAGGTCCAGGACAGGAGAGGTGGGGTGGGGGAGGAGAGATGGAAGGAAACAGAGATGTGGGCACCAGCAGGAAGGAAGCAGAGGCAGGAACTGCTGGCTGGAATGGGTCCACGGAGAGGAAAACCACTTCTCCTTCCCTTTCTGATGACAGCAAGATTAGTACTTGGGAGCAGGGCTGCATGAGACAGAACTTCCCGAAACTCAGGAGGGGAAGGACCCTGAGCGTGTGTCCCCGACAGAGGCTGCAGCTCCCAATCACATGGTCCACTTGACCTCCTCTTCCCACCCTACAGCCCTTGTCCCCGGTGAGCTTTGGCCTCAGACAGGCCCTCAGGGCACCTGGCAGTGCCTCTTCCTTCAGTATTCAAGGCAAATGAGAGGCTCAGTGATCACCCGGACCCCAAAGCAAGTGACAGATGTCGAAAAAAGTGGCATCACCCCCAGACTATAGATAAGGAATCTGAGGCACAGAGAGCTTCGACAACTTACCTACTACCACACAGAAAAGGCATGCCAGAATCAAGATCCAAACCCAGGGCCCTCTGTGTGGACCTTACCTGAATCAGTCAAGGACCCAGCAGGGAGGTGGTAGAAAAGTAAACACCTTAATCTCACTCCCTTCTTGCCCTCCCGTCCTGCCAGTGCCTCCCAGACAGAAGCCAGAGGGTGCCGGAGCCCAGTGTTGCATCCATCCTGCTGATGCATCTGCACAGGTGGGCCTCACGGGCACAGAACAAGGCAGAGCAGGGCAAGAAGTGGACCTGGAGGGGCACATGGAAGCTCCCCAGCACCCCGCCACTCAGGAAGACTAGCCCTTGGTACCCACCTGTACTCAGCTGTCCCTGCCCTGCAGAGCCAATGCGTCTGTCCCCAGGCCTCTCAGTAGAAGGGCAGGGCCCTCCTCCCAAGGCTGGGCAGCATCACCACGCTCCCTTCTTCCTTCCTCATTCACACTCCCCACCCTGCCTCTATCAGTGGCTCCAAAATGCAAAAGTCTCAAAATGGCGCACTTCCTCAAGGAAGGCTATCTCAAGAGAGGAGGGTCAGCTGATGCCACTGACAGCCCGAGCTGCCCCTCCCAGTCTCCCTGCCAGCCCTGCTCGTGGAGGCCTGGCGGCAGCCGAGAAAAAAGAAAGGGCTCCCCTGTCTCTGATTCCGCAGGGCCTCTGATAAGAAATGTCATCCCTCGCTGGGTAATATTACCCGGCCAGATAAGAATCTCTATCAAGCTCCAACATATGGCTGGCTACAGAACTTGGAGCTCAGTGGAGCAGGGTAATTTATTTGCTTAAGCTGCAAACCCTGGGCGGCCAAGAGAAGTGCCCTGAATAAAAGAGTAAGAGCCAAATTATAACCTCTTGTGACTTGTCATTGGGATTCTTCCTGGGAAGGAGGAGGCACCTGAGAACAACAGGGGGCCCTCCAAACTCTCCTCCCGCACGGTAAGCACTTTCACCTTCCTCTTTCTTCAAAGGGCACTTTCACTTATGTTATCACATTTAATCCTCAAGACAACCTCAAGAGAAGCATTTTTAGCCTGCTTTTACAGATCAGGAAATGGAGATTCAGCAAGGTTAAAGTAAAATGGCCAAGGTCGCACGGGCAGCCACACTGGAGCGAGGACTCAAACCCCAACAGGTCTGACTCACTGGCGCACCCCGTCAGATGGAGAGGTTGAGCCCAGCCCTGGGTCGGCTCAGCCCAGGCAACTAAATTAATCACCTAAGTCAGAGCTGCCCGACTTAACTGACAATGTCAGCTACACACTGTAATCTCGAAGGTCTGCTTCAAACCTCTCCTCTTTCCTTGTTTCTCTGTAACCTGGGGGATAATGAAAAAGGTTTGCAGAGTGCAAGTCTGAAGGGCAAGGAAGGGAGGCTGGGGAAATAACCAGAAGAGGGAGAAGAGACCTCAGGGCTCAGCTGCCAGCCTCACACGTTCAAGGAGTAGCAGGCAGAAGGGAATTGTAGAAAGAAAACTCCTCCCTCCCTCCATTCATTCATTCATTCATTCATTCATTCATTCATTCACAAATATTGATGGAAAGCCTCCTATGCACCTGCTCTATGAAGTGTTCTCTCTAGGACTGACTTACAGGTCAGTAAAGAGACAATAACAGCAGAGCATTAAGCCTGCCTGCAGATGCAGAAGTTCAGGTACCTTACCCAGGGTTGGTGCATTAGTGTGTAGCTATTAGCATGCTCACATACAATACTGTTCTATGCTCAGTTGTTTTTTTAAGAAAAACATCATTAAGGTTTACATTACTCTTTGATAGTTAATAAAGCATCAAAGAATGTTCCCTATTCATTCATAAAGCCACTAATTAATTTTTAGATTAACTTTTTAATTGACAAATAAAAGTTATAAATATTTATGGTGTACAACATGTTTTGAAATATGTATACATTGTGGAATGCATAAATCGAGCTAACTAACAGGTGTGCCATGTGTTTGTAGTATTTTTTAAAACAGCTATATTGTATTCCACTTTATGGAGGTATCACAATTGAATCAACTAAACCCCAACTGATGAACTTTTAAATTGAATCTCATTTTTTCTATTTCAAACAATGTCGTGATAAAGATTCAATTCACATCATGCATGCTTCTGCAGAAAAAATTCTTCGACTAATGTCTCTTAGACTTGCCTTTTCCTGTCCTCTTCACTGCAGCAGTAGCAAAGTCTCAATACTGTTCCCAGAGGTGGATGCTTTTCTTTTACTTTTGGGCCCTGAGATATTCAAGAATGCAGAAAGCCCAAGGCTAGACAGAAGCAAACCTCCACTAGAGCTCAGGATTCACCTAAAACCACAGCTCAGCCTAGAAAAGCATAGCATATGTCAATTGTGCAATTTGAAGCTAAGGCGTCTCGGAGGAAGAGATTGGTCACAGCCAGAAAACCTTTAGGTGGTCAAAAGATAATGTATCTCTGTGGCTAAAACAAAGTAGAACCTAAGGTGAACAAGGGCATCCTATGAGTGAGGGACTGGCCACCCATTGGAGGCACCGTGATGGGCACTGATGGAGGGAACCCCTAGTTCCCTGGAGGGGACTGAGGAAAAAGGCTGTCATCTATGGGATCACAGATAAAGGGACCAAAGACTTCAGGAACAAAGAGAAAGGCCTCATTCACTCTTCCTGGGCAAGTCAGAGAAGAAGATGTTTCAGGTAGGTATTGAAGAGTAGGGGTTCACAGGCAGAGAAAAGGGAGGGGACTTCCAGGTGGTCTCACCAGAATGTATGACATGGATAGTGACAGAATGGTCAGCCAGGGCTCAGGATGCACAGGGCATACCTCATAGGCTGTGCTGAGGAGCTTGGCTTCCCCTACGGAAGGCACTAGGAGCCATGTAGGCCCCTGAGCAGCAGTGCCAGATCAGAACGAAGCTTCAGCATCACCATGGAGGATAAACTGGCGAGAGAAAAATCCTCGGCCATGTGGGAACGAGTACACCACAATTCCAGGAGCATCCTGCAAGGCAATAGCTGTACTGATTAAAACAGCAGCCTCCAGAGCCAGGCTCCCTGTCTCCCAATCCCATTCAGATCCTCTACTGAGGCCACTACCAGCCTGAACAAGTTCCCTATGGGCGCCATGTTGTTTTGTCAGCGGTGGAATGGAGATGACACCACAGGGGCCTCTTAGGGCTATGTGTGGACTGTAAACTGGATGAGTTAGTGTATACAAAGTGCTCAGAACAGTGCCTGGCATGCAGGATGGACACAGCACATGGCAGCTGTTGGGAACACACCTATCTCCCTGGTCCCTCGACTTCCTCTTTCAGCACTGTCATTTGTTCTGAAACGCGAGCTGCCACAAATCTGAGCAAAGGTCTGAGCAGGTCTGAGTCAAGGCTTGCTTTAGGAGGGCTGGAACTACTATCTGAAATAGCATTTGGGGATTGCCCACTTCTTCTTAGTTACAGATAGTGGTTCTCAAACTTTACTGCACAGCAGATTCACCTGGAGAGAAGACGTTATAAACCCCAAAGCCCAGGCCCCATTCCAGACAAAATCAGAACTTTTGCAGGTGAGATACTGGCATCAGGATTTTTAAATTCCCCCAGTGACTCCAACGTTCAACTCAGTCTGCGAACAGCTGATGGAAGAGTCAAATCCAGCAGGAGAGGCACGCTTGGCAGGAGGAACGTGTCCCCACCCCTGAGCTCTGCCGTCTCCAGAATCCACGTCTGCTCATTACGACGCCCACCTATCTCGCCTCACAAGGCAGCTCAGCTGTCGCACGGAGCTCGCAGACTTGAAAGCTGCCCCGGCTCATGAAATGTGTAACACACCCCTAGACTCCTTTCTGGAAGCAGGTAAGGAGAGAGAACACCGACAAATACAGCCAGTGCAGGAAACTCTTTGGAAAAAGCACTGGGTTACTAGCAAGCAGCTAGCTGGCTCTGGCCCCAGGCTCTCTCCCACACGCTATATGACCTAAAAGACATATAATTTTTTAAATGCATACAATTTTAAGAAAATTTCAGTGTGTTACAGGGATAAGGACTGACTCATCCCTCCGACAAGATGTCGGTGAGATACAAGCGGGAAGACACAGGTCACATGACGGAGAGTAAGGCAAAGGTAAAGCATTTTTATCTAACGTGTTTTCTGGGTCTTTACTGTAACGTGAGAAGTTCAAGAGGGAGAAATGCCCCCTTAAACAAACTTTTTTCTCACCAGGGGGAGGGAGGCATCAAGGAGGAGGGTGGGACATGGGGAAGTTCTCTTCAGGGCAGGTTGTCCTGCTGCCCCAAAGGCCCAGGTGCGGCTACTGATAGGGCAGGGGCCTGGGTGTGTCCACGGGCTGCCCCTCCGAGACGTTAAGATAGGACACGTTATCCGGGAACAATGGAGCAACCTTACCGTTGTCCTAGACCTGAATCTGACACGGGAGGATAAGGCTCCAGGAAACACGTCCCCAAACATC